GGGGGGGGGCGGGGCGGGCCAGCCATGAGAGCTTCTCCCGTGGCTCCTCCGGCTATGCCTGCCCCAACGGGAGGAGCTGCAGGGGCTATGCCCTGCTGGGGCTTGCCCAGCCAGTGCAGGGGGGGAGGGGAAGGAGGGGGCAATGTAGGCGCAGCTCGCTCTGGGCGGAAGCGGGTAAGCAGCAGCAGGGCATAGCCCCTGCTCCCAGCGCTGCCGCACCCACATCAGCAGGGGCTCCGCCCTGTCGCCAGTTGCCATCCGGTGCGGACCACACAACAGTGCTGAGAGTGGGGGCTATGCCCCGCTACCACTTGTCCTCTTATGCCTGGAGCAAGCTGCGCCTGCATCCCGCCCTCCCCGCCCCAGCTGGGCAAGCGGTAGCAGGGCAGAGTCCTCACTCCCAGCGCTGCTGCGTCCGTATCCTGCATCCCCCTGCCTCTCTTCCCAAGTAACACGCCCCCTCCCCAGCCCTGGCTGGACCGCTTCGAATCAATTCGGATGCTTTGAATCAATTCGGAGCTTTTACTTGGTCTCCCAATTCGATTTGATTCAGATTTGGAGATTCAGTCCCTGAATTGGGCCAAGTCTCCTCCAAATCGAATCAGCTACCGAAGCTGGTTCCCTCCGCCTCTCTGGTTTCTACCCTGCAGCCAGTTTCTCACCCATCTGACTGTCTTGGAATTAAGTCCACAATTCTCTAATTTTCTCACAAGGACGTTGTGGGATACTAGATTAAAGGCCTTTTCAAAGTCAAGGTATACAATGTCAACCTGCTCTCTCGTGTCCAGGTAGTGAGTTACCTGGTCATAGGAGGAGATGACTGGTAAAGCAAGAGCTGCCTGCAACAAAACCATGCTGGCTGTCATTCAGACTCTTGCCTTCTGCAAGCTTATCACAAATAGACTCCTTGATGAACTTTTCTAGGGTTTTCCCTAGGATGGAAGTTAGTCTGATCGGCCTATAGTTACCTGGGTCCTCCCTCTTGCCCTTTTTGTAGATGGGCACAACATTAGCCCTCTTCTTGTCCTCAGGGACTTCTCCAGAGCACCACAAGTTAAGGAAGAGTTTCAGCAAGGGTTCCGCAATGACTTTGGCTAGCTCCTTCAGTGCTCTCGGATGAAGATCATCCAGTCCTGCTGACTTGTATACATCTAATTTTTGTTATTGGTCATATACCAATTCTACGGCAATAGTAGGAAGGCTATTATTCCTACTGTGCTTATCCTGTACTCTACCTGACATGTTTTTCCCCTTGGTCTGGTGAAAGACCGAAGCGAAGTACTCATTCAGGAGTTCAGCTTTCTCCTGGGTGCCAGTAACTATCTCTCCTGAGTTGTTAAGCAATGGCCCCACACTCCCATTTGTTTTCCTCCTGTTCCCTATGTACCTAAAGAAGGACTTCTTGTTGTCCTTGATTCCCATTGCCAATTTAAGTTTGATTGCTGGTTTAGCATGTCTTATCTGTTCCCTGTAAATACTGGCCATCGTGGAATAGTCCTGCTTGGGGGCCTGCCCTGAGCTTCCATTGTTTATAAGCCTCTTTCTTCTTTCTTAAGAGAACCATGATTTCCCTGTTTAGCCAAGAGGGCTTCCCAGTCCTTCTGTTACCTTTTCTCCGCATGTGCTTCAGTGATTGTGTCCTTAAGGAGCAACCACTCTTCATGCACACCTTTGGTCCCTGGTGCCGCAGCAGTTGCCCTACTAGTGATTTAATCTTGTTGAAATTTGCATTTTTGAAGTCCAAGACTTCAGTCCTGCTATCCAATTTGTCTGCCTTACGTTGGGCAGTGAACATTATGGTTTCATGGTTGCTGTTGCCCAGACTTCCCTCTGTATTTAAGTCAGTCATCAGGTTGTCTCCTTTGGCCAGGACCAAGTCTAGCAGATGACACCAAGTTGGATGGACTTACAGACACTGGAGGCTGGGGCTAGGAACCAGTAGACCTGGATAGACTGGAAGAATGGTTCAAAATCAGTCAGATGAAATGCAACATAGAGAAGTGCAAAGTCCTGCAGTACTGCAAAGAAGGCCTTGGGGATCACAGTAGACCGTAATCCGAATATGAGCCAACAGTGTGCTCTTGCTGCAAAAGAAAAGCTAAAAACATACTAGGCTGTATTAACAGAAGTACAGCTTGCAAATCAAGGGAAATGATTCTTCCATTTTGTTCAGCACTGATGAAGCCTCACCTGAGTACTGTCTCCAGTTTTGGGCCCCATACTTCAAGAAAGATGTGGATAGATTGGAAACAGTCCAGCACAAAGCAACAAAAATGATTAGGGGCCTGGAAAGTATGACTTATGAAGAAAGGATGAAAGAACTAGGGTTATTTAGCCTGGAAAAGACAAGACAAAGGGGGATTTAATAACCGTCTTCAAATACTTGAAGGGCGATTACAGAGAGGATGGAGATAGTCCTTTCCTCCATGACCGCTGAGAACAGTTTACAAGCAATGACCTCAAGATGCAGCAGAGGAAACTTAGGTTGAAGACTAGGGGGAACTGATTACAAGGGTGGTCAAGCATTTGAACAGGCTCCCTAGAGAAGTTGCAGCATTTCCATCCCTCAAAAATCTCAAGAGCAGGTTGGACACACACTTGATTGGTTTGATTTAATCTGTACTAGATTACCTCATGAGGTCCCTTCCAGTGCTTCTTTCCTATAATCCTTGTTTAAAAAAAGTGACATGAGGACATAATAGTGCCTAGAATAAAGACCTTGATCCTTGATTATGTTAATGTAAATAAAGAAAAATGATTGTTCTTATTTGTAAAATTTTACTAGAGTGAAAAATATTTGAGGCATGGTCTATATCCATAAATTATATGGATTTGGCTTTGCCTTCTTCCTTTCTAACTTTTTAGACTCTTGTTATCTTGATCCTGCAGTAATGTACTCGCTCAAGTAACTTTGCACACAGATCGTCCCATCCAAATCAATGGACAATTTATGTGTAAATGTTTGCAGAACTGGAAATTCAAGGAGAGATAGGCACCTAACCTCCCTGATTTTCTTTTGAAAATCCTAGACTGTATTCTTTTTTTAAAATGTTATCTGTTATTCTCTTGCTCCATTTTCAAACAATGTTAACATCATTACATTGTAGGATGCAGTGTCATGCAGGGGTCAATCATACAGAAATATGTTTTGCAACAAATTACATAGTCAATCAGAAAAATAAATAATTGTAAATGTAATTTACCTTATTAGCAAAATATATATTTTCAGTATGTTAGATCCATATTAAGTTCATTTTAAAAGCAGCAGCAAAAGGTCAGCATGCATTAGACAAACGCAGTCCCTTTTCTTAAACCTGAAAATTAGAGCATCTAAAACTTGTTGATTTTTAAAAGGAAATGACTATCTGCTCAGTTTCTGTTCTTATTATTTTTAGCTGAAGTTTATATGTGCCTTTACTTTAAAAGTATGCATTTATTTCCATTGGCATATTATATGTGCCTTTAAAGTGGCCGTTTAGCTACAAATGGGAAAAGGACTCATGTGAAACAGGCCTACTACATTATCTGGTTATCCACAAAACTGAAAAATACACAAATGAATGACATTACTAAAGGGCTTAATATTTCTTTACCCTGGAGTCTAGATAAGTATGTTTAAAAACAATTCTTTCTTCAAGGGTATAGGTTGTAGCCATATTGGTCTAAGGACACAGGCAGACAAGATTCTTTGTATAAATCTGATATTTTTTTATTAGACCAACTCAAATAATAGAAAAAAATTCTTCTTTGCAAGCTTCCAGGCACAAACACCCTTCTTCTGCAGTTAGTCTGTGCTCTTCCTGGATGGAATGCATACTAAAGAAGCCAGAGTGGGGAGGGTGGGGAATGAATGTAGCTGGTAAATAGAGAGGTACCTAGGGAGTCAGATGTTAGGCAGGTTATAATGTGTCAAAAATCCAATGTCTATATATAATTCATGATTACTGCGTACCAGAATGAACGCACACTGGACATCTGTCAAAGACAAGAATACCCAATTACCTGTGGGGGGCACATTTCTCACAAGAAAACCTCTCTGTCTCCAGTCTCTCAGTTTTGATCCTCGAAGGGAATTTATAAAACACCTTTCACAGATGATCCCATGAACTTCACTTCATCAACCTACTGAATACAAAAAATCATGGACTAAATGTATAGGCATTGTATTTATGATAACCTGCCTAACATCTGACTCCCCAAGTATCTCTCCACTATTTACCAGCTACATACATTCCCCTCCCCATCCCTTCCGCCCACCACCTTTCTCTCACCCATTGACTCCTATTTACATTGTCACTGACTGACTTTCTTGCATGCATACGAGCCTCTGGCTCCTTTACTATTTATTCTATCCAGGAAGAGCACACAGCAACCACAGATGCTTCCTTAGCCTGACAAAGGGTGTTTGTGCCCAAAAGCTTGCAATGAAGAATTTTTTCCAACTATTTGAATTGGTCTAAGAAAAGATATTAGATTTACCCAATGAACCTTGTCTGTCTTCTTTCTTCAACAACTTTTTGCATTACATTTGTGTTACAGGTCATCATACTAGAAGCTAAAGAGAGAATCGGTGGCCGAGTGTGGGATGATAAAACTTTCAAAGGAATCACTGTCGGAAGGGGAGCACAGATTGTCAATGGATGCGTCAACAACCCAGTAGCACTAATGTGTGAGCAAGTGAGTTCCCTGCAGCGCTTATGTATTACTGTTAATGAGAAATGTTACCAATATAAAGGCCTGTTAGCATGCAGATATGTAAGCACCATTATTTTGCTTTACATGAGTTAATGTTTTCTGGATGTCAAAGAGTTTCTTTCCAAGATCTGAGTCAGCAGGTTTATATACTTTTATAACAAGAGCAGTCAATTACTGTCCAGCTTGATTCAAGAGAGAAGATGAAGATATAATTAGTTTAGAGAAGTTACATCCACAGTATCTTTAGTCTGTCTCATAGATAAACCAAGGGCCTGTACAAAAGTTATACTTCTTGCACGTTAAGCCTGCATAAAGTGTTTTGTAGCTGTAATAGAACAGACATTCTTGGTGTTATCAGACTTTAATATTAGATTTTAGGTAGTGGCAATGAATTCATGAATGTTTGAACAAGAGTAGTCTGTTCTCTGAAGAGAGCATTTATTGAGCACAGTGATTTGCAATTCCAAGTATGTGACAAAGAACAGAAAAACTTTGCTTAAGCTAACACACAGCAACAACATGCAACTTAGACACAACAGAAACTTTGCATAAGTCTTACGTAGTTCTGAAGACAGAGTCTGTAGCCAGGCATTCAGAAGTTTTTCTGGGGGACCATAGATCAGGGTCGTTTTAACTGGTGAGGGCAGTCCTACAGGCCTCATCTTTGCCGGGTTTTTATTGGGATCTGCACCTCCTTCTCCATGTTTCAAAACTCATGCATACAGCATGATTCTCTCTTGCCTCTTCTCGGGTATTCCAGTCTCTCACCCCTTACAGGTTCTACATGTAAACGTAGCTCCCTGCTTTTCTACGTCACATCAGCAAGTTTAAGCAGTCTGACCCCTTCCCTCCTACCTCAGGTTATGCATGTAGCTTTAGAATCAGTTAAAGGGCCAGAGAATGTTATGACTGCCAGGTCTTTGCCAATACTCCTCTCCTTGTTGGCCCTCTAAGAGGCTCCAGCACTATCATTTTTAGGCTTGGGTGTGGTAGAGGGTTGAGGCCTAGCCAGCTCAATGCCTAGTGCAGGAGTAGCCAGAATTACTCACCCTGGGAGCCACGTACAATCCTCTGCCGAAGCTGCAGAGCAGGGGTGGGGGGGGAGGGGTTGTGTGTGTGTTCTCCACTGAAGCCCCGCCTTCTCCCCAAGAAGGCAGCCTGGTGTCCCCTGGAGCTGCCTTGGAGAGAAGTGGGTGGGGCTTTGGCGGAGAAGCCCTGGATAGCTGCAAGAACTGTGCCGTGAGCCACATGCAGCCTGCAAGCTGCTATGTGGCCACCATTGGCCTAGTGGGTTGCAGCCACCGGTGAACCAACTGTTGTTTTTTCTCACTATCCTTATCCACTCTTGTTCTGGCTGTCATTATGACTGTTACCATCTTATGGCATGGATCTGTTACTGGGTACTGCAAGCTCTACTTTCTTTGCATCTAATAGGTTGCAACCCTTAACGGAGACTGATCCTCTTTGTGGCAGTCTTGTCACCTCAACCTTGTTCAGGAGGGTTTCTTGCCTGGCCTTTAAAATTTTTCAGGTGATTACATAAGTGACACGTATAACATAACACTGTAAATACAGCTACAGCCAATAACATTTAAGCTAAGAGCTACTGATATTACTAATATTAAAGCCACTTAAATTTATACATTAAAAGAGAACAAGGAAATAAAACTACATTGCTATTTTTCTATTATTTTTTTTCTTTCCATAATAGCAAGGCATATTGTTCATTCATTTGTTGCTTCCATCATTTTACAGACAGATATAACTAAAGTACAATACAAAAAGCAATCATTTGAATCAATAATACAATGGTCATGGGTGAGTAATAATGTGAATAAGTCCTTGGTTGAAGTTCCAATGGATCAGTCTATCCCACCATTTTCTGCAGCACTTTCTTTGATGTTAGTTAGTGCTCAGTTCCTTTAGCTGTTTGGTTTTTTGATCCACTAGCATACCCACAACTTTTCCTTCTTCTTTATTATAACTGCAGCTTCATTACAAGTATTTGTGGAATCATTGTTTGGACCATCTTTCCTGGTCTGTTGAACTGCACCTGAAACAGTTGATACTGGGGTTTTCACCCCTCATTAATTTCCTTTTCAGGCTTTTTAGGGTATCTATACACACGGAGTGGGGGGATGGGGAAGCACTTTAATTAGAGTGGCTCTGAGAGCCGCTTTAATTAAAGCATCCGCAGCATCACATGTATTCAGTGTCCCATGCTTCAAAATGGTGGCGGGGGGGGCTTTAACTAAAGCTCGTTTGATGCTAATTAGTACACTCCAGCAGACTCAATTAAATGAGTCTACTCTGTTGCTAATTAACATGTGTCAGAGCAGAGGTTTTTCACGTGTATAGGTGCCCTTAGTTGCAAGGAGTGGACATGCTCGTTTACCTACTTTGCATGTTTGGGGCCCATTTTGAGGGCATTCCCTTTTTAACAACATGCACAATGGGACAGCTTCCTTTGGGTATTCCTCGATAAAAAAAATCTCTTGAGAACCCTGTCAGTTGTACAAGGAACTTTAAAGTCAAAGAATTTTAAAGAGGTACTGTCTGTGAGAGCAATTTGCTGATGAAATCTTCCCTTTTGTTAAGATAGTTTCTAAGAAAGAAACTGTAGTCTTATTTACTCTCCCTAAAGACATTTCTCACCTTTTCTATCAATACTCATCCTCTTTTAGCAGTAGTTTTTGGCTGTTAGAGGGGGTTTACAGAGAAGACTTTTTGGCTCCAATTACTATAGCCTCTTCACCTTTGTTAATAACAGCACATTTCAGTTTACAAACACATGTTAGCATAATCAATCAAAGCTCCCAATGTTGTTAGGGTCTGTGACCCTAAACATTCCACGGGGGTCATTTAACATTTTTCCAAACTTGACTGAACAATGAGTAGAACCTAGTAAAATGTATAATTCCTCTGTAATGGGATCTTAGGATAGTTTACCATTAAATCCTTCTACAGCAGAAGAGTCTGTGGTCTTCCAGTTTCTAGCTTTCCTTCTCACTTTTCACTTGTAAGAAGGGTACTACTGGTTCATTTTATATTAAACCCCTTCATATTTTTCTCCTCACTTGTTTCCAGCAGAAGGGTTGCTTACAATTGAAAATGAGTCACTCCCATCAATCAACATTGTGTGATTCCCCCAGCCCATTTTTTTCCTTCATGTTTTGCCAGCCTTTCTCAGCAATTCACCAATTATGTCTTTTTACTTTATACTGCAGCATTCTACACTACACTTACACCCTGAGGGAATCAACCAGCTTTGCCTTTTCTTTCCCCTCCTGGTTACCCTTTAGAGTCTGCTGCTCAATCTTTAGCGCCCTCCATAACATCCCGGAGTGGGAGTTTCAATGCTGTGCCTTCTAAACACGTTCACATGCCACCAAGAAACTGCACTGTTGAAACTCCAGCACTGCTGTCTGCCCATTTTTTAACTAATGTCACAGACTTACTCTTTACATCCGGGGGAAGGACTGTGAAACCCTTTGGTTTTATACATTCCTGACACCAGTCTTGACTTGACACCATTCCCATCCCCTGGAATGAACAACTCTAGTACAAAAGGCTTATCTGACTGTGGATAAACTGACGCAGGGATTTGAATTAACCCTTCCTTTCATCTCTTCCTTTAATAGGGTGTGTGGAGGAGGTCTTTTAAATATTGAACCCCATCTATCATCCTCATGATTATAATCGGAATGATACAAATCGGAGCCATCATTATTATCATTCACATTTACATGCTGCCTTATTTCACAATTACTGTTGTCTCCTCTGGGCTCTTGCTCTGGCCCTCTTGGCCCCTCAGCTACCAACAGTGCCCCTTCGTGGTGGCTACACTTCCTTGTGAAATGCTCAGCTTTTTGTCCTAACGCTTTGATCTTCCACTTACAAGCACTGTGATCTGCAGGCTTGTTCAGCTGTGCATCCTTGATAACATGTATCCTTTGACAACATTCCCTGCAACACCTCCATCTGTGTTTTTAAATTCTTTCTCTCAAGCTGGTCTACAATTTTCATTCTCCAAAGGCTGATTCTTTTCTTTTTCCTGAGTTGATCCTTGGGCTACTATAGACAATAAACCTTGAATGGCTACCCAGTTTTTTGTTTTTTTTTTATCTGAACACATTCCTTTTTGAAGCCACACAAGAGGACCAACCACACACATGCACAGATGCGTCCAGTTTACAGAATGCATCCTTATTCCAAAAACCTGGAGTGAGTTTTGTCTACACTTACTTCTCTGGCATTTTGACAGGTTTCTGACCCTTTCATTTGCTCTGACAGCTCCTAAACCTGCTGCATCAAGCTAATCTAAAAAGGGGGAAGCTTCTGAATTCCAGCTTTAATCTGAGCTCCCTCCCTGCAGAAGTTTAAGCGAATAAGCATCCTAGCCCCCGAACAGATTTTGCAATCCTCAAACAGCTTCCAGTTTTTAAGTTTAGTGTTCAACAAATTTTCTTAGTGCTGTACACAATAAAATATCTCAATCCAAATGAATTCAGTAGGCTTGTCCAAGGACGTCAAAATCTACTACCAGACGTGATATTAGATTTTAGGTAGTGGTGCTGATTCATGAATGCTTGAACAAGAATAGTCTGAAGAAACTGAAGAAAGCATTTATTGAGCACAGCAATTTGCAATTTCAAGTATGCGACAAAGAACAACGGAAAAACTTTGCCTAAGCTAAGATGCCACAAAATAAGACACAACAACAGCATACAGCTTAGACACAACAGAAACTTTGCATAAGTTTTATGTAGTCCAGAAGACAGAGTCTGCAGCCAGGCATTCAGAAGTTTCTCTGGTGAGCTGCAGGTCAGGTCTTAGCTGGTGAGGGCAGGCCTCATCTTTGCCTGTGCTTTTATAGGGATCTCCCACTTGGGTCCCTCATGTATCCCATGTCTCTCATGAATCTCATACATTCAGCATTGGTGCCTCTTTTGGGGTATTCTAGTCTCTCATCTTTTACAGGTTCTACACGTAAATGTAGCTCCTTGCTTTCATATGTTGCATCTCAGAGTGTTTAAGCAATCTGGCCCCTTCCCCACTACCTTAGGTCACCCAAATAGCTTCAGAATCAAAGGGCCAGAGACCGTTATGACTATGCCAGGTTTTTGCCAACAGCAGCACATAAAGCGCTTAAAAAATGGTGGATCCTGCTCTGAGTTAATCCTGAATGGACGTAGTATCAGATTAAAGTGCTTCAGGCTACAGTGCTTTATCAAATATCTGTACCACATCCCATCTTGAGTCAAGCTAAGTTGTATTCGTCCAGCATCCTTGAAGCCCCTTGCTGGGTGGCTTGCTAACTTTACCCTGTGCTTGTCTGCTCCCTGGGCTGTTACAGAGGGGAGACAGAAAAGGTTCTGTCTCCTCTCTGCATGGCTGGGTGGGGGAACCGAGTTCCTGTGCCCTATGGCCACTACCCTCTTCCCCACCCCCCATTTCTGGGTCAGGTCTTGGGCAGGGGTAGGCTAAGTCCATGTGGCAAGGGGGTTCCATTCTTCCACCCCCAGTTCCTGGTGCAGCTCTCAGTTGCAGCTGTCAAGAGGCTGGGACAGGGGGAAAGGAGCTGCCATGTCCCATGGGTCCAACCAGGTTGCTGAGTCAGGTTTTGGGGGGTTGTGGGTGGGGGAGGATGGTGGGTTGGGTCTGTGTGGCCAGGGGACTCCTTATCCCCTCCATCTCAGCCTCCTGACAGCTGCTTGGCACGGCTCTTCATCATGCTGGGAGTGGGGGAAGGGAGCCCCCATGCTGCATGGGCCCTGCCCAGATTGCTGGGTTGGATCTTGGGGGAGGGCCAAGCGGGGTCTACACAGCAAGGGGGCTCTTTTCTCCCATCTGCCTCAGCTTCTTGACAGCTGCAGCATGGGGTTGTCTGACTCTACCGTGATGGGAACTGGGAGTAGAGGAAGGGAGCCCCTCAGCGTAGTGGGCTGGGTCAGGTCTTATGGGGAGTAAAGCCAGTTCCATGTAGCAAGGGGGCTTCGTTCCCCACACCCAGTTCCTGGTGTGGTAAAAAGCCAGGCTACAGCTGTCAAGAGGCTGGTGGGGGGTGGAGAGGGAGCCCCCCACCACCTGGACGCAGTACTGCCCCCTCCCAAGGCCCAACCCAGCAATCCAGGTGGTGGGGAGAGGGGAGATGCGACACAGGGGCTTCCTTACCGCCCCCGGCCCCTGGCCCACCTCAGCCTCTTGACAACTACAACTCAGAACTGTGCATGGCTTTTCACTGCACAGACAACTGGGGGTGGGAGAATGGAGCCCCCTTGCCATGCAGGCCTCGTCCCCCTGCTTCCCTCCCTGCCGCTCCCCCACAAGACCAAACCCAGCAAGCAAGCAGGGGGAGGAGGGCTTGTGGCAGGGAGGTTCCATTTCCCCCTCTCTTACCCCTAGCCACGGCTGAAGTTGCCAGCTGGTAACTGCCAATATTGCAAATTCCAAGACAGCTTGATACTTACATTCAGGCTGATTTTTCTCTAGGTGGAAAAGGAAGCTAAGAGGACTTCTTGGTACCAAGTCTGCTGAGAGAACCAGGGAAGAATTTAGCTTACTTTGTTGCAACTGTTCAGTGCTTTATAATGCTGTGCAGAGTAAAATTTAAAAAATAGCAAACCTGTATTTCAGTTAGTAAAGTGGGAAGCTATTGTTTTTGAGTAGGGAGCTGATATGTCAAGTAACCAAGTGTGGTTTTTCTTATTAATTATATTCTGAAATGGTCATGGATGTGACTGTAGACTGCATTCGAATAGAGGGCCTGGTGGTAACATAGTGGAGCTATTCGTGGCAGCATAGCTCCTATAAGATACCATGGTGTTGCAACCTCTAGAGCAGAGCTTTCCAAACGGTGTGCCGCGACACATTAGTGTGTCAGCAGCAGTGTGTAGGTGTGTCGCGCGAAATGCAGAAAATTTTGCCGAAGGGCACCGCGGAGCTCCCTTACTCGCGTCTGCTTCCCTTGGCCCCTCCCCCGGAACTGAATTACTGTGTCGAGAAATGATGCATGTCTAAAAAGTGTGTCACCAACATGAAAAGTTTGGAAAGCTCTGCTCTAGAGTAAGGCAAGTATAGGGTGCCTCAAAACTGCAGCTCCTACTGCCTTGTGGTTACTCCTTGGTTGGAGAAAGGCTAAGGGACATCACCCTGACAGAAACATACCCTCACTGAGGTATTGGTTATTAGCAGTTCTTATCTGTTGCTCTCTGGCAGCTACAACCATTAGGGCACTGAATGTCTGGACTCAGTCTGGCCTTTGGATTGTCTAAAGCGGGGTAGGTCTTGGGCAGCTGCCATTCCTCCATACTTTTGCCTAGGCCAAGACATGTTGAAGGTCTTGGTGTGATGGTTTAAGACTCTGTATAAGCAGATTCATCAGGTACCTAACTAGATCTCTTGTGCGTACACCATGATCCAGAGGATCGATGGTTGCCTACTATATTCTGAAGTGACATGCATCTCAGTCTCACGTTTCGTGAGACTCACACAAAGTAATGGGTTTAAGTTGCAACAAGGGAAATACAGGTTAGACATGGGGTAAAACTTTGTAAGTGTAAGGATATTTAAGCAGTAGTTTAAATTAACTAGGGAAACTGGAATCTCCATTGTTGCATATTTTTAGAGCAGGTTAAAAATGGATCTGTCAGAAGTGGTTTTGTAGAGTTGAACCTGCCTTTGGGCAGGGGATGGACTAGATGACCTCAAGGTTCCTTCTAGCTCTGCTCTGTACGATTCTAAGATATATGGAGAGAAAGAGGAAATTCTGGGGTATGTTCCCAAGTAGGCAACTGTGTATTCGATAGCATTTTTTCTGTCTCTTCAAATATCTGTTCCAGAATTTCAAGGACTGTTCTAGGCTATCAGTGGCCAATATTGTATTGATTTTTGCAAAACCAGAAGGGAGAAATGGACTACTCGTTTGGACTAGAGCTAGCAGATCCAGAAGTATAGAGTGAACAGAAGAAGACACAATCCTTAGAGGAAGGATTGAGGGTGAGATTGCAGCAAGTCCCTGAAACGCACAAGGATAGGTGGATAGCATACTGGGAGAGGAGACAGGGATATGAGGCGCCCCTGGTATATGCCTTGAGTCTGGTCAACTGGAAAAACAAAATTTGTCCCATTCTAAGCTTTACCATGTTCTAACTCTTTGAAAATCAAATTAATATCATTTTAAGAGCACGAGAATCAGGTTTAATCTGACCAGTTACTTAAAATGTGAAAAAAAATGTTAGTAATATAATCTTACTTTTAAAAAATTCCTCTTATTTTTAAATGTTTTTGACCAAGTTAGACAATGAGGTTTTCCCCATAGATGTTTTATTATTATTTTTAAACTTCCTTTGAAGCTTGGCATTAAAATGCACAGACTTGGGGAGAGATGTGATTTGATCCAGGAAGGTGGACGAATAACCGATCCCACTATAGATAAGCGCATGGACTTCCATTTCAATGCCATCTTGGATGTTGTCTCTGAGTGGAGAAAGGATAAGAGCCAGCATCATGATGTCCCTCTTGGTGGTAAGTAGGAATTGTATTTCTGCACCAGAGATTTGAGACATATTTGTATCCATCAGAAGGAGGAGGTTGGTTTTTACTTCATATGTATTCTGAGCATTCTAAATGTTTGCATGCAGGGGCAGATCGGGTTGGGGGGTAGTTGTACCCCACTTTAGGCTGCGTGGCTCTCTCAGCTTACCAGCTTGTCAGTGTGTCTCCAGAACCGGGGAGGGGGGAGCCACTGCTGCTTATTCTCCCTTTCCTCACTTTTCCCTGGTCACTGAATTCGGTGATGGGAGAGGGGATGGAAGGGCGAGTTCCAGCAGTGTTCATGGTCTGGGTTCTGGAAGCTGGTGAGCTCAGAAAGCTCACTGCATATATGCCCCACAGACAAAAGGGTGTGTGGCCATATCTTCCTGCCCCTTCTGGATCTGCTAGTGTTTACATATATGGTTAACTTCAAATGTTTAAGGTGAAATCTTGGCTCCAGTGAAGCTGATGAGAGATTTGCCTTTGAATCTATAGAAGGCAGTATAATATACTTCCCCCCCATACCTCCAATGTTGGGAGTTGGCAGTCATGTCACATCTCATTTGAAGTGCATCTTTTTTCCTATGTAGGATCTTGGTTTTTATAATTTAGTTTTTATCAGTTCACTGAACAAAATATACAGTAATCACCACTATTTTGTCTCTTAAGTTGCCGAAGCAGGCATGGCTCGAGAGAGGATGTTGGGTCAGCTGTAACTTTCCATTTTTTTTAATGAGTATGCACTGAAAGAGTTTGATCCACAGCCCTCTGAAATCACTGGAGAGAAACCACCTGGCTTCAGTGAGCTTGGGTCAAATCCAAATTCTCTCAGACCTTTTCTGTTAAAATTAGGCAGGATTCTATACAAGGTGACATTCAGAGTATTATTCATGAGTTTTGGGTTAAAAAAACCCCCTATTTTTGGATGAATTGAACATCCCTGAAAATTCCACCATGACCGTATTCACTGTACATAGCAGCTAAACAGTAAATTTTTCTTCTGTCTATATGAAGTATTGGGGTTTTTTTTGGCTTCCATTTTCATGAATTTTTTGCCTGAGCCTTAGACACTGATATCTGATGTCTTTTTGAGGAAGATGTTTCAATGGGAAGTATTCAAAGCCTTATCTGCAGTGAGGGAAAAAATTAATCCTAACCAAAGTTAGGGTTTCATCTAATTACATATGAAAGACGTTTAGATTTTCCATTACAGAGGAGATACATATGGATGAGTATTAATAACAAATGTAGAAATTCTGAGATTGTGAGAGTACCGACCTCTGATAGTTTAGTTTTACTATTTTATTTTCAATGTTTTTCTATACAGAGAAGATACAGGAGATCTACAAAGCCTTTATTCAGGAGTCTGGTATCCAGTTCAGTGAGCTGGAGGAAAAGGTACTACAGTTCCATCTCAGTAACCTGGAATATGCCTGTGGCAGCAACCTCTCTCTGGTAAGCTTTGTGAATGTGCCACTGGAGTATTTTCATTTTGAGCCTTTTTAAATCAGTGGTTGCTACAATCAGATGCATGAAACTGTGATTCCTCAAATAAGTTTTGCAAGGCGTTTTTATTGCGAACTCCTCTGTTCCTAACAAGATTTGTCTCAAGACATTTGTGATCTGTATACCCAGATGTTTACTGCATACTTGAGCTCTGCATACCAGTTTTGATTCTGTTGTGACGGCAGGGTTGCGCATGTATTTACATGCACCATTTTACCTACACTAGCCAGGTTTTTTTCTTGCTGTATGCTAAACCAGTGGAAGGGCTACATTTTAAACACCTTTAGTATGTATGAACACCAGAACATTCCCCAGGAAGTCAGGGAATGTCTCTGTAGTCTTTTAGCTGGGTGCTAATGCTTAAACACCCTTATTTCTATTTGGCTGTCAAACAGTGTAACTAACATCAAATATCTTTGTTAGATATGAATATACTCTTATTTTCAGTTTTGACAAAAGATGTAATAGAATATATGGTAGCAGATGACAGAACAAGGATCAATGGTCTCAAGTTGCAGCAAGGGAAGTTTAGATTAGATATTAGGAAAAACTTTCTGACTGGAGCTAGGGACAGACATTACACACAAACCGGTTTAAGTGATCAGAAACTGGTTTAAACCTGTAACAGAACAGATGTTCAGTGCACATAAACCAGTTTGAAAATGGCTGAAACTGGTTTGAGATAAACCTGGTTGAATGCAATATCAGACTTACCTGATTTGACTCAAACTGGTTTATGCAATATCTGTCCCAGACCCCTTGCTGGTTTAATTAAATCAGACTCCCCCAGCATGTTCTCTGGGCTGGGCAGGGCTCTCTGCTCCACTGCAGGGCTGGCCCCTCCCCTCTGCTCCCTGGCTGGAGCTCTGGCAGTCTCTGCAGGTGTCTACCTGGCTTCTGCTCCCCCCACCCCACCCCCATTCTCTGCTAAGCAGGCATTTCCCCATCTCTCACAGACACTTCTCAGCATTGAGCTGTGGCACACAGGACAAAGGCAGAACCAACAGATAGCTGGTAATGTCCCTCTGTTGTTTTCTTAATGGGGTGATAAACATTGAGTGGGGCCTGGCCACACCCCCCTCAGCTCAGTACTGTGGAAGGGAAAGGAGGTCCGCTCTAGCACCCCCCCTGGCTTCTAGCCTGAGCCACTGCAGGCATGTGTCTGCATTTCTAGGATGTCTGTCTGGTTACAAACTGGTTCAGCCTAACCAGATTAGACTAACCTGCAAAGACTGAATCAGTTCAGGCTCAGGCTTTTTAAATGTCTGTCCCTAGCTTAGGAGGGTAATAAAACACTGGAACAGGTTACCCAGAGAGGTTGTGGACTTGGATAGATAAAGCCTTAGTTGGGATGGTCCTGCTTTGAACAGGGGTTGGACCAGATGAACCTCCTGAGGTCCCTTCCAACCCTAATTTTCTATGATTCTATGAATAAGTATCCTGCATGTAACTACATACGTTTCTCTTGGTTCTCTTCTTGCTTTGTGCTAAACAATGTTCCGAATAGACTCTCCTGGGAACTTTTAACCCTATATTTGCCATTTTTTTCTAATTAGAACTTTTAAATAATTTTGCCTCAGTAAAATTAAAGAATTTGTTTGTTTTGTTCATGTTATCATGTACTAGGTTGCTCTGATAACACTGTTATGGAGAGAACCAGAGTAGCTCCCTCTAAATTGCAAGACAGCGCAAAATGTGCTGTGTCTTTGTATTTGAAGAGACAGCTGAGCATGTTCTGTCCACAGGTATCTGCACGCTCATGGGACCACAATGAATTTTTCGCCCAGTTTGCTGGAGATCACACCCTTTTAACAGTGGGATACTCTACTGTGTTAGATAAACTGGCTGAAGGTGTGGACATTCGGCTTAATTTTCCGGTGAGTTGTAAAACATCAATGCAGTGTCAGGTCTGACTTGTTTTGAATCATCTCTCTGTGTTCCTTTTGAATGGAAAAATCTGAGTTTGAAATTAGTTTAACTTGTTTAACAATGTGAGAGAGGAAAGGGGAAGCTTCAGGGTTTTTTAAATAGTTTCTTAATGGTTCAGCCTTATTTAGATTTAATAAATATTCTTGTCATCTCAGATGTTAGCAAATGAATTTGTGCACAACAAACCTAGGATTCTGAAAATGAGGCTGTATCTCAGTATTGTAAGGGTATAGTCCAACGTTTATGACCAACCTAATCATACTGTTTAGCACATACAGAATTCAGATCTGCATAATAATGAAAAAAATCAATTCCTATAGTTAGCTTGGAGCTAAAATAATGATTTTTTAAATTCAGATTGGGTGAACTCTTCTCTTTAGTCATGAAGTCTCTGTGGGTCTACACATGCACTTTACTGCAGAGTAGACTAATTAACTCTGCAGTAAAGTATCACTGTCTACACATGCACCATTATTAGTGGGTAGTAAATTAATTAACTCTGCTGTAAGAAATATACTGTCTGGGACAGTACTGTCTTATGGCAGAGTAATTTACTGTCCAGAAACACACATGTGGATGCTGACTGCAGGTGTAAACTGTGCCTAGATAAGCCAGCCAGGTAGGGGCCTGCTCCACCCTGGTTCAAATTGCTGCTGTCCTGGGCACACGTGTAGGTGCTGTGCCCAGGAGCAGTTTCCTCCAGCTCAAATGTATCGTATTAATTACATGTGTAGATGTACCATGTGTATACCATTTTTGGGAGTTCAGGGATAATTTTTAATAATTACTTATACCAATACCATTCTGTTTAGATTATGAGGAGATGGTTTATTTGAACTGTGATCTTTCATTTCAGGTTGTATAGTGACTGGTCTTTACATCATAAAATATGCTCTTTCATTATTCATTTTGTTTCTTGTAAATGGTGCCTGTCTTCTTCAAATTTGTAGACTATGCTTATGTGAATGTATATTGTATTGTTCCATTAAGTTTGATGTATTGTTTTTTCACTTTTATTGTTAAACAGGTACGCAACATTGACTATTCTGGAGAAGAAGTCCAGGTCACAACAACAGATGGAACTATGTGGGCAGCACAAAAGGTAGCCAATGCCAGGAGTTTGCATGGACTTAGGTCATAGGTTTTGTGTTTTTAAGAATCTAACTAAAACAAACTGAAGGAGATTTGGAAATCCTAATTATTCATTGAGCCTTATTTGGTTGATACAGTGATTTGTTTCTCACCTGAATAGGTTTAAGTTTTGAATGCTAATTGATTAATGCCATGGGTGCTCAACCCCCAGCTCACAGACCTGATTTAGCTTGTGGAGCTGTGTCATCTGGGCTTCTGGGCTCCCCACAAGTTTGAAATTTGGTGGCAGGGGAATGGTGGCAGCATAAATTGCTGCTCCCCTGCTGCTAAATTTCTGGACCCATGGGGAATTTGGTGAGTTGGATAGCATGGCCGTGTCTGCTAGATCAGGCCCAGCCAAATCCAGGCAGGGCAGGGCCCAACTCCATGCACCAACCTGTGAGGGATCCAGCCTGTGGTCTGGCCCACAGGGCTGAAAAGTTGGGTACCACTGATGTACACTATCAGAATCAATTAATTTGAATTCATGATTTTTTTTTAATAACCTGAATTTTGCAAGTAAGTGAAACCAACAGAGACTTATTTTTTTTAAAGGAGAAGAAAAGAGGTCCAGGAATGGTGTTTCTTTTGTCATTTATTTTGATACTTGTTTTAATTATGGTATTTCATAATATACAAAAAGCATAGCAGGTTTATATAGTTTTATAAAAGTATTTTTAAAGGTGCCACACCAAGGACTCATAAAAGCAATATTAGAACACCAAAGGAAAAATGAAACTGCTTGCTTTAAGGTGGCAGTTGTAAAGGTCTGGAGCACTGGTTCCTGTATGCTCTGCTCTCCTGAAGCACCCCTGCCAGAACTGGGACAGGAAACTGGAGGATCTTTGCCCTTACAGGAACCAAGAGACCCTGAAACTGGAAGACTGGAGGCCTGGTTCCATTCCCCAACCCCCAAGCGCTCTGGGTAGCAACTGCATACCAGGACAATGCCAGCAGTGCAGCTGTTCCTCTTCTTGCACCTTTTCCAGAGTTGGTGCCTGAGACTAGTGACCCAGTCATTTTCCCTTCGTTATGCTACTGGGGGGATTACTAAACTGTAGGTCCCCACAGACTCATCGTACCCCCTGGCTGGAGAACACATTGCTGCTTGCAGCTGTAGTGCTGGGGGGCACAGCAGGGGGCTGTACATGTCTGCAGCTGAAACACTGTGCTTTGGAAGTGCTTCAAGTTGCTGCTGTGCTTTCAACTGCCTCAGATGTTACATCTGTTCCCATCCTCAGTTGTCCTCTCAGTACTATACTCTCTGAAACAATAACACTAGGTATTTACCTAGACGTTGTTAGTCTAAATTATTGTGTTTGGCTTTTACTATTGTTGTGATCATGGTTCTTTATTATCCCACAGGTTTTAGTTACTGTACCACTAGCGCTTCTTCAAAAAAACACTATTCAGTTTAATCCTCCACTGCCAGAGAAAAAAATTAAAGCCATTAACAGTTTAGGAGCAGGAGTCATTGAGAAGGTACGTAATTAAGATTACTTTGGAGTTGTGTGAAAATCAGTATTGAGCTTTGGGATTCTTATGGTGATAAGGTTTCTTGTGTTTGCTGCTATTTTCCTGGGTTTGATTTGTATGCAGTAGCTTAAACCTGTGGTATGCTTGGGCTTTGGATTTTGTGCCTTGCAAAGAAGTCAGAAATATGGAGAAAGCATCATGCTGAGGCAAGACCCTATTAATATTATGAAAATAGAGGAAAGAACATTTTAAAATTTGCTTTCATGAGTTTTTTACCCTGCACAACTGTGCCTTTTAAACAGAAGAGCAAAATGGTATTTTGAATCATATTTTTATTTTTACACAAAATCACTCCAGCTTTTAATTGTTTGTGCTTGTTTTAAAATAACATTTGAGTTTTTCTGTGGTTATAAAAATCGATTGCTACCTTTACTCTGTTTGTTTCTTTGTGGTTTGGGAGATAAGTTTTATTCCATTTTTTCTTTTGAACAGAAAGATTCAAATACTCTATCCTAAGACCCTTCTACTATAGTTTGGGTACCTGACATTGATGGAAGATGAGGGAAAGTGAACTGAAAGAATGTGTGTTTATTTAAAATAGAGACAAGTAGGCAAGCTGTGGATTTTGTAATATGAATTTCTCTGACTCGGTTTCTCTTTATCTCTTGTTAGATTGCTTTACAGTTTCCTTACCGATTTTGGGACAGCAAAATTCAAGGAGCTGATTTTTTTGGTCACGTTCCACCTAGTTCCAGCCAGCGTGGACTATTTAGTGTCTTTTATGACATGGATCCACAGGTATTATATGTTATAAATGTCAGTATAGCCTATTAGTTTGAAATCGAAGTGCAAAAATTACAATTCTGGAGAATGGAAGTTTTCTTTCTGCTTCTTTGCTCTTAAAAAGTAGGACCAGAAATTTTCTGCAGGGAAAAAAAATACAACTGTAAATTGATATTCTTTTTTCAGTGTTGCTTTTTCAAGTTTGTTTATTTTGTGCCACTAGGACATGGCTGTTTTACGTTCCCAAAAATCTGGCAATCTGGAGTCGGGTAAATGCTAGGCTGATGGTAAATACCAGCAGAAAAATACCAGCTGCCGAACTGACTCTGAAGTGCTGTGCCTAAAACAAGTCTGTGGAATCAGAGTATAGATTGCTGTAAGAATGGGAAGAATGAGGTTTCTAAATGTAACAGTTTCTAAATGTTAGTGAGTTAGAAACATAAGACTTCCTTTAATTATTCCTGCATCTTATGTTGTCATTTAAAACACTAGGGAGTTTTGTAAGAGTTACTATTCTGAAGTGTAGTGTTGTGTCCTCACATGTTGTTATTACATAAATATAAAAGGTGCAGAGGTAGAGGATCAAGCATGTAGACTGGATCCCACTTAGACATTGCAGTTGAGTTGGATGGAATCCACCTATAAGAAATGAGGGCTGTAAGTTTAAACCTATTTCAGTACCAATTCCAACCTGTACATTTGTAGGCCATTGTACTTCCACATACCTTATCCTTTAGTGTTTCATTTCCTCCTTCTACTGCTGCAGAACAATCAAAGGGCCTTTTGTAACATGTTAACTTGCCCCAAGAGTCCCAGACCCTTTGAGGACAGTTTTCTGTAATTACGGTATCTATCTCTTCCTGGGTGATCTGAGAGGAGCCTGCCAGTGTTTCTCCTGCAGAAAGATTTAACCTGCTAGCAATCCCTCTTGAGTATAAGTGGGAGTACCTGATGTTTGGGGATTGTTATCTAGTTTAGGAGTGGATGTAGATTAAATGCCTCAGAAAGAAGAGTTGGAGGGAAGTATGAGGAAGCTATGGTAGTCTCTATAGCTACTGCTCTTTCCTTTTTGGAACTTCTGATTATTACCAGACTTACTTAAATCCAAGACAAGGTTTTGACCATATTGAATCCAGGACCAGGTTTTTTTTCCCCCAGTCAATCATGGGGGAGAAGAGGGAGTCTCATCTTAGATTCAGGTACTAGCCTGGTGCAGGCAGCAGCTCAGCAGTGCAAGGGAGAATGCAAGAGAAGTGCAGGGGAGATCACAAGTTGGGGTGGCAGGTGCATGGGAGAGGTCACATCGTGGCTGGGGGGGCAGGGATTGGGGAGACTTGCAGCGTGTGGCTTGGGGGCAGTGCAGGGAAATGGTGCAGCCTTCCCTCCCTTCCACAGGAGGGGCACATGGTGCGAGGGTGCAAACTTAAGACTATCATCCAATAATTAGATTCTAGATGTGGAAAATTATAATACATTTTAAATTTTCCATTAATAGAATCTACTTATTAGGGAATTGTCTTGTATTCAAAGTTGTCTGGAGTTCAGGTAAATATAGTAGCTGAATTTTGAAGTAGCAGAGGCAAGCCAGCCTCGCTGTAGAGCAAAGCATGTGGTCTGGTCCAAAGTCCACTGACGTCTATACAAAACTTTTAGTAGACTTTGGACTAGGCCTAGAATGACTAGAGTCCTTAATTAGGACTTTTTTGTTGCCCTTTAATGGTGGTGCTTTATCACTGAACTGGGAGACTGGTGTCTGACAGAGAATGTGAATGTAAGCACCTTACCACCATCTGAGTGTGGGTAAGCTGATGAATATATGGTGTCACTTAGCTCTTTTATAACTTCAGAATTAATGTGTGCTCAGTATTGTCTTATAACTTTCTTCCAGTTCTTTCATACTGGAGTGCAAAAACTATAGAAAATAAATTTCCTTGGAGATCGTAACTGATTACATCCAAAAAAAGTCTTTTTCCCCCAATAACTTGGAATTGTTTTTTCTCACATTTTTACCATTTTGAAATTAATTTAAAGTAATAATCCCTTTATTTTAGGGGAAATACAGTGTTTTAATGTCAGTGGTTACTGGAGATGCTGTCACAACCATTAAGAATTTAGATGATAAACAAGTATTACAGCAATGCATGACTGTACTTCGAGAGCTGTTTAAGGAGCAGGTAAGAAAATCCTATTTTGTGAAAGGAAAGGAATGAATTTGTAAGCGACTTGAAAAGTGACCTGCAAAGAAAATTACATAGAAGAAAAAATACATTAATATCCTTTTTACCTCCCCAATACCTAAAAAAAAAAACCAAACTCTTCTTTATATATCATAAAGATATGGGTACAAATCTTTCCTCTTTTTTTCCCTTTGCAAGTCACCTTCATAACTGCTAAATTAATTCTGTTTGTCAACTCTAGGACAAACACATGGCCATCAAACACACTATTTGCACTCAATTCTGGAGACTGAACTGAAACAGATGAAGGAAATAATTTCTCCCTGTTATGTCATTTTTTATTGTCTACAAGTTTATATGTAACCTGTCTGTTCTAGATTATCCATACACTATTGCAAATGTTGGGTAATGCTTTATTTAACATCCTCAGAGTGGCTGAAATAAGTAGTAGGTAGGGTTTCTAGCCCCTTAGCTTAGATGGCAGAAACTTTAATAAATCTGGCTGGCAGGTTCTTGGAGAACATGGATTCTTCTGCATTACTTATTTTTGTGATAATACAGGAAGTTCCTGATCCAGTAAAATTCTTTGTTACACGATGGAGCCAAGACCCCTGGACCCAGATGGCATACAGTTTTGTAAAGACAGGTGGCAGTGGGGAGGCTTATGACATTCTAGCTGAAGATGTACAAGGAAAAATCTTCTTTGCTGGTGAGGTAAATATCTTCATTACTGTTACTAAAAAATGTTCAATTAGTTTCTCATAAAGAGAACTTAACAGTGCTGGTTAGAACAAGACAAGATGGCCAAATGCTCTTTAAAGGGTGTTTATATAGCCCTGGCTATCAGTATAGGGCTAGTTTTCAGCAGGTGCTGCTAACTGTGGCAAACTGAGGAGTGGGTAAATGCAGAGCACAGTGAGACCACACTTCACATTTTTTATGAAATTAAGATATTAATGTCAGTTGCAGAAGTATTTTAATCTGTTTAGCTATGTGATTAGAATCTGTAGTCTGGGACGCTATACACTAAAATTAATACCTGCAGCAAGTTAGAAAATAAGCAAAACTTGTATCAATGATTTCAATGCTTTCATGGCACGTTTTTCCAATAAGGATGCACAGTGTATGTTGTTGCACTCTACAGAAATAAAGAACAGTGAGCTTTATGCAAGACAAGGCCCTGAATCTGTCTGTATAGACATGTATTAAATAATTGGTTATCAGTGATAAAAGATAAGTGATGCATAGCAGTTCTCTCAAAAGAAACTTCTCAGTCCTGCTATTTTATTATGGGCATGCTTTACTGGTCTTGCCCAGTTGCAATTTAAGCAATGTGGTCTGATTATATAAACTAGATAAAGCATGTACATGTTGTAGAGCAGGACGGAGGTCCATATGCATATAAAATATCCATCTCCTTGCAGAACTGACTCACCACTTCTCCACTGGTGAGTAATGAACTTGAAGCAAACTCATGCTATTGATACCACTATGTATCCATATATATGTAGGCATAACCAACCTATTTCTGTAATGTTGAAATGAATAGTCAGGAGTCAGACTTCAAAGCTTTAAACCAGGGGCGGGTAGTTATTTTGGGTGGAGGGCCATTTACTAAGTTTTGGCAAGCCATTGAGGGCCGCGTGACAGGTAGCCAGGGGCAGATAAATATTAATTTTCTAAATTTTTTAGGGGCCCAGCAGGCTGGATAGAATGGCCTGGTGGCCATTTTGCCCACCTCTGCTTTAAAGGAATTTTGACAACTTCATTTTTTTTTGTCATCTTCCCTAAATTCATTAATTTGCTTTTGTAAGAAAAAAAAGGCAAGCCTTTCTTCATTTACTCTCTTCAACCAGCTACTCAATAGTGTGAGTACTAGCATCTCTTAGTAAAATCTCTGTAAAAACATGTCACTTTTTTTGTGCACTACATATAATTTTGTTTCGGATCAGAATTGTATGCATCTTCTCCTAAAGGGCTTTCAGAAATTATGGTTTTTATTTCATTATAGGCCACAAACAGGCACTTTCCCCAGACCGTTACAGGAGCCTATTTGAGCGGCGTTCGAGAAGCAAGCAAAATAGCAGCATTTTGAATAGTGGCATTTTGTTTCCATAGATATTTTTTTATCGTTTTCTGTGGGTAAGACTATCTTCAATTTTCCTATTTGCTACTTTGCTAAGTGGTACTTAAACAGTGTACGGTACCTGAATATAAATTCATCTTTCTTCTTTTCTCTTTCTTTTCTCCCTTTTAAACCCTGAGGATACAAGTACTTGTTTTCTTAACTAAAACGTTTGTTATAACTTATTAGTCTGCACTAGCATTCAAGTCTCTTGGCCTCTTTGGCCCTCAGAGATTTACTAACAACCTTCTAGGTGAACTGTTTTTTTCATGGTTCAACTCTTACTGTTGTAGAACCAAACTTCAGGTCAGGACAAGAGGGCTTTTAGTCACTATACAGTATTAAAACATGCTTGCAGACTTACAGGTGGGGATGATGGGACCCTTCAATTCATTTTCTTCTCAGGTATTCATACTCATTCCCAAGCACTTGAATAAACTGGCCAAATTGTGGAATGACAATGGTTATGAGTATAAGAAGGAACAAACAGAAATATCTCCCCACCTGCAACAAAAAACCCCCTCTTTTGCTATTTTTTCAGTGACCTTACTTTCTACCAGTCAGGTTTTAGAATCTGAAGTTTGTTCCTTTAAACTGCTGGAACAGTATACAGTGCAATTACAGGAGGGTTATTGGAGCCAAGATAATTTTTTAGAAGAAATAAAAATATTAAACTTTTTACATTATTGTAAAAATGTCTCTAAATTTTTTTCCCTCCTACATATTCAGAGGAAAAATACCTTTAAAAGAATCCTCTTTACAATAGGGTTAATTTGAGATTTGCTCAGTGGAAGTAGAGTAGGGGAAAAAAGTTTTATAATTCTGTTGTTGTTTGAACAGTGAATCTCCAAATTCATTTGAGATGTGTAGATAAGTCATTTATATGTGTAATTATGAAAGCATAGCAAGGAATGAAGATGGGACTATAAGTTCAAATTTCTTAGTGGCTCATTCAGCTTTTGTATT